AAGGACAAAAATTTACATCAATAAATAAAGGTATGGAATCCTTTATGATAAATAAGTCTTAATCTCAAATATTCATCCCTTTTCAAAAATACAGGTTTTAAAATAAAGTTAAAAATTTAAAAAAAATAAAAGCTTAAAAAATTAAAATTTGTGCAGATATCAATGATGTTGCAACACTTTCAAACTTGACATTTGTAAATAAAAGTTAAGTTCAATAACTCTATAAAATGTAGGGATCGATTTTACCTCGATTAGCATCCGGGCCTCCCTTCTAAAATAATGAAATATCAGTATTTTTCGATTCTGTCAAGTACCTCGCCTAAGAAACGTTTCATAGAATGCTGATATATAAGAAGGTGTTTTGAAGTTTCTCTATCATTTTATTGTTTTTTTTTTTATAACAATTAAAGTCTCCATTCGATGAAACAAAGAACTTGACTTTGAAATACAACACAATAACACATCATATCGAAATTCTAAGCAAGTTTAAAAACATAGGTCGTAAAATCTTATTTAATTAAAATTGGTCAATAGGATTTATTAGGTTATTTCAGATGAAAATATGAATTTTATGATTTGGATTATTTACAGTCAGATCGGGGTTGCTGTTTGAGCCGATATTCTTCAAAACCTGAATTCGGAGATGAAGACAGTGCATCACTGAAGACCACCTTTGATGCATGTAAAATGTATTATGCAACTATATATATATATATATATATATATATATATATATATATATATATATATATATATATATATATATATATATATATATATATATATATATGGATATATGGGTTGGATTGAGGAATCGCAGAGCCGAGTTCGAATTCAGTCGAATCCATTATATTCACTTACGTGCTAATACCCTTGGGAAAGGGGTGAATCCTCTTCTCTCTCCAGCTATGGGTAAATAGCAGGACAGACTGGGTTCTATAGCTTTGAATGGCAACTGGTCTAGGAGAAGGACATCTCTGAAATCAAAACCTGCGGAGGGTCGTTGGGGGACCTTGTGGCATTCGGTGCACCATGTCTCTGTATTCGTCCCTTCAAAAAGTGTGGATGGTCCTGCACGAGACATTCACCACTATAATCAAATCTCATGTGCTGTTGTCGGGCTGTCGGTTTCCTAGGAACTGATCTACTTGACTCTCATACGTCGAATTCGACGGGAGAGTCGAGTATATATATATATATATATATATATATATATATATATAATATGAAATGGACAAAGTTCTACAATTATTTTAAGACATTTTTTTATGTTTATACGTTCTTTTTATAGATACAAATATTTAAGTAAATGTTCTGTTTATAATAAACAGTATTAACAACATTTACCGGCCTGAATGTCCAAGAAATTTTCATAAAAAACGAGGACGAATATTTTCTATTCAGGCCGGTAAATGTTGTTAATACATATATAAATATATATAACACCATCACCTGTTAAGATACCAGAAGTGTTGAAACAAAATGGCTATTTTTGTAGTCATTTTATAACATATTTATATCACGCACACACGCACACACGCACACACACACACACACACACACAGATAGATAGATAGATAGATAGATAGATAGATAGATAGATATAGTTGTTTTTTCAGTTTTTTCTTGTTAAAAATCTTTCCAAGTTTTTTTCTTATTCTCCTTTTATTACCCTTTGAAAATATTTTATCCTAACATAGGTTTATATGTAGATACATGTTGTTGGCTGGTGTATGCATGTATGTGCATGTACGTAGATATCTATTTGTAGGTACGTATAGATGCTTGTACGGGTAGAGATATTCTTAAAGTGAACGAAGGCATGTGTGTACGCATGTATATTCAAATACCCTCCAAATCTTTGAAACATTTCCCTTAATTTTTAGGTTCTCATATATGGATAAAGTTAATACAACAATAATTCTGAATTATCTCCCTTTCATTTCACTAAGGTTATCTCCTGATATTTTATGTAAATTAGTCTTTTTTTTTTTTTTTCTTTTTATTTCGTTAATTTCTTTGGATTCCCGTTGAAACAAACTTTAGCCGTGTGACCATTAAGATGTAGGTCAGCTCATCGGGTTCCCCTTCTCTTCCCTTCCCTACTCCTACCTCCAAAATATAATACCCTACATTACTTCCTGTAAATATACCTTCTTCTGCCATCTCTTCTCCGCTGTCCCCTCTAACGTTATCTTTTTCTCTTAGTTTCCTCAACTAACCAGTCCTCTTCTACAAACTGGCACCATATACTTTTTAATTAAAATTTTAAGAATTTTAAAATTTAAAATTCGCAGGTGAAAATCGTCATTAACTAATGGTATCTTAATTCCAATTGTATATATATATATATATATATATGTGTGTGTGTGTGTGTGGTCTTGTTTTTCAATTTTTCTCGTTAAGATAGAGTATCATTATGTAAAACAAAAGATACTTAAGTCATGCCAATGATGTAGTGAAAACAAAATGAATTGGCAGCTGGGAAAGCTTTTTTGTTTACTGCAAAAGATGATTTTATTTTCACCGATAAAGATTAAACTGCTTCTGTGTCTGGATAGATCTTCCGTAATGTGTGACAATGTTAGCATAAAAGACAAAATAAAGCCATTTCAAGAAAAATAAAAGTAAAACATTTATCTTATTCTTTTGCTAAACTAAAATATCAGCCTATTCGATTGCATTTACTTTCACAATAATACCCTCGGAACGGCACAAACCTATCGCTTCTTCTCCCCTTCCAGCGATGTCGTAGGGTAGACTGGCTTCCCTAGTCTTGGGTGTCAGCCAGTCTACAAGAAAGATTACTTTGAACTCAAAACCGTGGACAGTAAGTTTGCCAGTAAGTTAGCAACTGGCAGTAAAGGAATCCGTGTAGAGCCATGGTCCCCTACGTCTTGAGGGAGCATAATATTAAAAAAGGGGAAAAACGAAAGAAAATAAAATAGGGAGGGAGCAAAAGGTAATGTTTATTCTGCAGGTTAAAGATAATGAATCTTGAATATCATATTTTCGATATTGGATTAAAAAAGAAAAAATATCAGATTTTTAGTTCTACGCGATTGCTCTGTTGTAGCATAAAATTGCATTCACACACACACACACACACACACACACACACTCATTTACAAGTCGTCGTTTGTGTCCCCCACTGTGCACGCAATTTGGATTGGGAGCAATATCCCAATTTATGCACTTTAAAAAGAATATTTGTATTTTTTTTTGTTCTTTTTCCTTCATTACAGACTTTATCGATATTCCGCGTTCCTTGATTAACCAAGTTATTTTCAACTTGATTTTAAAATATATTTGACTTTTTTTATCTTGATTCTAAAAAAAAAAAAAAAAAAAAAAAAGACCAAAAATGAACACGATGAAATAATTTATTTAATTTTCTTCGGTTTTATTTTAAATTTACTTTTATTCATGCGCTATTTAATTATTTTTACCTTAAATCCTTTCGCTACCGTCGAAGTTTGTAAATTAACAATTTTCGCTAAAAACGCAAAGCTTGAAATATTTTTCTCTGTCATTTTTTTATTTTAATCATTTCACCTGAAGCAAAGCAATAAAGCCAACAACACGCAAAGAGGTTACTGAGTGGGAATGAATATAAAAAGAAAAGAAAAGAAAAGATGGAGAACACTATTAAGAAGAGAGAGAGAGAGAGAACAATAAAAGAACAAAAGACAAAACATAGCGATTGACATTGCATTCAGCATTCTAATGATCACAGCTGACTGGAAAGCAAGAGGTCAGAAGAGAGTTCCACAAGCAAGAAGTGAGAGAGAAGAAATTGTAAGCATAGAACTTACGGTTACATCTATAAATTCCAATTGTAAAATGACGAGACCTAGCTACCAATCTAGTCAGTTATGTGCCATATGTAATACACGATTCTTTCGATACATGACTGACGAGGCAGATTTTTATCCCGCAGTAGGTTGCCATTTCTTTCTGCAGTAGACCAGTTGCCATCCAAGGCTATAGAACCCAGTCTGTCCAGCTATTTACCACAAGCTGGGGGGATGAGAAGAAGATTCCTACCTTTCCCAAGAGTATTAGCACGTAAGTGAATGTAATGGATTCGACTGGAATTCGAACTCGACTCTCCGATTCCTCTATCCGAGCCGTTATCCATTACTCCACCGTGTCAAAGAGAAAAACATTGAGGAATTAAAGCATATTTGATAATTTATAGTTTTAAACAATCACTTTTCTATTGTGTACTGTACTACATTTGGTGGATTCAAAAGTGCTCGCATATACGCACTTAGAATTCTCTTTCCATAAAGTAACCAGACATTTAATATTATGAATAAATGGCCTACCTAGGGTAATGGCGTCCCAGTGCGCTTCGAAACATTTCCGTTGGTAACTTACACACTTATCCTGTATCACTTCCATTGATAACTCCATTTTGATCGTTCACCTCTATCTCATCACATTCTCCTTAATCTCGTCCACAAACCGATGTTCTTCGGGGCTGTGCGATAGCTATTATTCTGTGCTTAAGCAAATGCAACACAGATGTGGCCGGTTGTTGTTGCTAAACAAATGAGTGAAAATCTCTTCAAATCTCCAAACTCTTCGGCATTCATTCAAACGCCATTCTCGGCTCTGGCTTATTTGGAACAGTTCCTACTACTCCATATATTATGGGCAATACCGCTATTATACTGTTTTTCAGTTTCCTGATGAGGTCGTGATATTTTCTTGATAGAATAGCCTTGTCGGTCCGGATCTCAAAATTACAAAGTATTTTACAAGTATTTTAATTTAACAGATCCTATTCTGCCTGGTGCACAATAATTATTATTATTACTTTTTTTTTTCATTTCTTTTGCGCATCGGGCTCCCATTATTTGCATTTAAAATAGTTTGAAACAAAAATTTAGATAATTTACTAATTAGAATCCGACAGATTATTTTGTCAGAATTAGGGTTTTATGGAAACGGTTGAGGTTAAGAAAGTTTTGTGATTATATAAAATCTGTTGG